TTGATGAGTAGTATTTCGAGCCAAAACGAGCCGAACACGAACGAACACATCTTAGTTCGTGTTCAACTCGTTAATTTATCGAACGAAATTAACGAGCCGAACACGAGCTTCTTAACGAGTCGAACACAAGCTGTTCGCGAACAACGAGCCATTTTGACAGCACTACCTATGAGTGCTTCAAAGTCACATTGATTTAAGGGTTTACTTGGATGATGCGTCAAGTCAAATTTGGGGCTACCTGCTAGTGAGAAGCTGAGCATAGTATTATAGCGGGCACAAGTTACAAAGTGAGTCTATAACATCAAAGATTTTTTTATTGCCCAAATTTCTATCTTTATGTGCACAATCAAGATATAATTTTATTAAATTAGTCTTTATTTTTAAGTATTTTTGTTACATGGTATTCACGAGACATCTTTATTTAAGCACCCAAGGTTAGCTTAGAACTTATGGTGTTTATATATATATTGATATTCTTCGTTATTATAGATCCAAGTTAATTAAAGCTATCATACCTTGATATCATTGAATTTTCCAACAATATCAACGGGTAGTAATTGATATCACATGTACTAAACATGTATATACCTTGCTAGTTCATTATTCTATAAGCCCTAAGCTCTTTATTCTTCTGACTTTTTACTTATTTTATGAGCTCTCTCCTATCTGAATTTATCACCTTTAAAGAGCAAATATCAAAACGTCTACATTGTTTGTAAACATTTCAATATTCAATAAAAATCAAATTTATTGTTAATTCTTGATATACTCCTCTTGAAGTTTATTCATCTCCCATAAATACTAAATTTCACAACGCCTGCATTATACAGATATTAACTTTAACCTATGAATTTCTGAATTTTCTAAAACATTGCCTCAGCTTAATTTATTTCTTGTAGGCTGGAGTATGAACAAAAGCGCAACATGGAATCACCTATTGAAAAATTAAAGCTGTCTCTGGAATCATTAGAGAAGGAGGTGAAAGAACTACAGAAGAAAGAACATGATGCAAAGCTGTCAGCAGAAAATATTGCAAGTCAGATGGAAGCGTTGAGTGTTAAAGCAAATGGTACGGTCAATATTGCTTGCTTTTTTTTAAAAAAAAATTGAGCTTGATATTATATAATGTCTGCATCAATCTTTCCTAGCAGATTTATATATCAAGATTAAGATTTTTATTTTATTTTTTTTAATGAATTACTTATTACATTAAAAAATTTACAATCATCCAAATTTTATTTTTCTTGCATAGGTTGCAATGCGCCAACTTGATTAAATCAGTCTTCATGTTGACTAGAATACACTCCTATGAGTGGCATACTTTCTTGGATCAGACTATCCATTAATTCGTTAAGCGGGATGAAGTTCAAGGGTAAAAAATTAGTGCTGGTGTAAAAACTCACATTGGGCTCATGCACAAAATATTAATTTGTTCACCTATTTGTATGTTTTGTTATTTGCCTATTTTTACAGAAGAGCTTAGGAACAATGTATTGTAGTCCTAACTCAATTTTGTTGAGACCATGGTTTTTAAATCGGACCGATTCGACCACTTCAACCATGAACCGGTCATTCAACCGATTTGGTCCAAGCTTATAACCATTTTTGCATAAAATCGGGATTGAACAGGTCATAACCAAAGTTGAACCGTAGAACCGATGAACTGATCTGGTTTTTAAAGAACCGTCTCGTTCAAAAATATCTAATTTTAGTCTTTTAATTTTAATCGAATGGCCATAAATGAGATATTTAAATTAGAAAAAGATAAAATATCATGTCTAATACAAAGCAATGAGAATATAGGTAGGTATAAATTTTAGAGTTAAATCATGCTGATTAAAATAAACAATTGCCTTCGAGGGATTCTTTCATAAGAGATTTTACTTAGGAATCACAATTTAGTGGTCTTTATTCATCAATTGAAGTGTTGGATACAAAGGTTGCATTGATAGCCAAACTGAACATCATAGGAATAATTATGTCAAAAATGAATGTGAGGTAAAATGAGAGATTGTAGAGTAATAAATGATTATATTAATAAGATTAAGAAAAACTCTCATTAATGATAAAAATGTTTAATAAATATAAATGATTTTGACCTGTACATAGAGAGCCTATGCTAAACCAATATAATAGATAAATAAATTAAATGTGAAAGGATTCATAAAAGTTAGTGGTAGATGAAAAAATAACTTGGCTAGAAATTTTATAGAAGAATCTGCATTAGCAGCTCGTGTAACTCTCATCAAGAATGGAGGAGTGTTATAAAGCGTACCATCAATAGTTAGGAGTAAGAGTAAAACTAATGATTATGATGGAGGCTTGAAAAGGCATATTATGAAATGAAAAGGAGACGAAGTTCGTTGAATGGTTTAATTTTGTGCAACAAAAAAATCAAGTAATAACCAAGTGGTGTAGAATTGTGAATTATAGGAGGATATGTGATAAAGGTAGGAAGGATGATCTCTTGAGTGAGATATAGCGGGCACCTATTACGCAAGATTAGAAAATATAAGTTTAGGTCTTTTAGGCATGCCCGAGGTTAGCAACTGTTGCACCAATGTTTGGGTTCTTGATGATAATGGTTATGGCTATGGTTGAATCATATTATTTGCTATTTCAAACTTGTTTTTTATATACACAGCTTCTCTCCACAATGAAATATAAGCTGAAAAAATATTTTATGCAGTTTGTGTTTCTTTTTAACAGAGTTTTGTTGTTGAACCCTTAGATTCATTTTTTTTTAATATCATCTAAGTTCTGAAATCATGTAGGTCTTTTTAAGCTGGTTAAATCACCTCCATTTTTAATGGGTTCAACCAATATTTATTAATAAGTAGTAATTAGTTTTGAACTGATTTGCATTGCTCCTTTCTTAATTTTGTCTATTTTCTGGATCTTTTTTACTTCTCAGAATGGAAGATCAATTCAGATGAATGTGGAAAGGAAATCGAAGAGTTAAACAAGATTCGAGCCAAGGTCATAGGAGACATTTCAAAATCTAAGCGTGAGATAGTTTCAAAGGTTAGTATAGTAACCTAGATTTTTTTCAATATGTACTACACGATGAGTTGTTTGTTAAATCTTTTTTTTGTGTAGTTTTCTGCATTTCCGTTGCACTATGGCTTGTTTGAACGATACAATTAACTTTTTCTCCTGCGTTATAGATTGAAAAATTGTGATTAAATCTAAGATTTTCTTATATTGGTGTAGCACTTACCTTTTTAAGATTGGTGGAGGTTTTGATGAAGATGGTGAATTTCTCTATTGTAAACATATGTTTTTAAGGGATTGAGCTTGATTAATGTGGAGCTTTTTTATTTTTCTCCCTTAGTCTGTTCTTCCAATTTGCTCGCTATATCTTCCGTGTCAAAATTCTCATAATATTTCTTTTTTAAATCATTTTGCATGGATGGTTTGGTGCGGCATTTATGTCTTGTTGATCAACTTACATGAAAGTATAGTTGACGCTATGTTATCTGTTAACGAGCTCTATGTACATATAATTTCTATTTGTTGCGGATACTTTAGGAATTTAATAACCTTCATCATTGCTTTTATTCCAATTATTGAAATTCTTTTTTTGTATTCTTTTCCATCATTCAATTTACTCTTATTGAGTGCTATACTATGAAGTATTAGTTTTGTTGTGTTCATTTTTTGTTCGACTTCTAGTCATCTATTTTTGCTTTACCCTTTTTGGTTCCTTTTAACTGTTTTGATTATCTACATACATCTTCTAGTTATCAAGTTATTTTCCATCGTGTTACCTTTATTTACCTTATTCCATCATTTGTTTAATATAATAATTTCTCACTCCATTCTTTCTAAAGCTTAATCGGGCATCCATGTCTACATCTTATTTTTGTCACAAAATTTGCATATTATATGCTTAACCATTTTGGCATGTAATCTTTTGACTCATCTTCAAGAAAATAATATTGTTGTTTTTTAAATTGTCTTATAACATGTCTTACCTATTAAAATGATATAAATATCAAATGGGTAAATTGCTAAAATAGTCCGCATATTCTTTACATGGCGTCATTTTAATCTTGGAGTATATAAAAGTGCGAAATTAGTCTCATATTCTTTAAATTGGGGCCAAAATAGCCATCTGTAGTGATTATTTCAGCTCATATTAAAAACTTTGGGTACTAAATTGACATTTTATAGACTCTGGGACTAAAATGACCCTCTGCAAAGAGTCACGGGACTATTTTGACGTTGTTTTCAATATCAAATGTAAATGTTTCTTTGACTAAATTTTGTGAATATCTCCATACATAAAAATCTAAACATTGTGTGATTATTCATCTAATTCTATTATCACTTAAATTACTTTTAATATTCATCATTATCTGCCATGCATATTTTTGGAACTTAACTTCAGCCTATGTTAACACATTTTTCTTAATGCAAATCCGGCCAATTCTTATAGTTATATCATGCATCTCTTCAAATCAGGAAAGCAAATGACAATCCTTTATTTAACTTCTATACAATTTTATTAGTTAATTCACAGAAATCACCTCCATGGTAGATTCATTTTGGTATAAACCAAGTCAATTATTGATAACAATGTGATTTTTATTGGATTATCTTGAATTATCCTCACCTTATGTTTTATTATCGTTACTCATATTCATCTCAATAGTAATCACGATCTTTAAAATCTCTTATGTTCTAAAATATTGATTTTGAAATGTTAATTCTCAATCATCTCACATTCTCATATTCCTTGGTAATCGTTTCACCTCTGATTTATGTTGTTAAGTTGCTATCGAAAGCGCTATAATGCACTTGCATATACTTCATAACTTCGTGATTATTGCTAATACACATGAAATGTGACTTCATCTCTATAATGGTAGCTTTTACAGCCGTGCAAAACATGACTCAATAACAAATGTAACATTACTAAATGTAGCTCAAGGTTTCATTAAACAAATTTATTTTGAAACTCTTGAAATATCTCATAATTTTCCAAATCAGATTTATTATTTCACCTGATTTAATTCTTTACCCGCACATTATCTTATTCAATATTTATTTAGTTTCAAAATTTTGAAGTAATCCTTTATAAAAAATTGTGATCTAGACTCTAGAGGCATTACTCTCATCAATGGATAATACTGGATTTTTTTTTTTAAATTGAAGCAATCAATTAAACCTTAACTTTCTGGTCTAACCATTTGTTTTGGAATTTTACTGATAACAGGAGGCAAGGCTTGAGCAGCTTAAAACGCATTGGCAAGAAATAATTGAGAAATGTGAATTAGAACAATTAAGCCTTCCAAAGCTTGATGACCCTATGGATGTTGAGACATCATTGCCTGGATCTGGCTTCGATTACAGTCAACTAAACAAATCATATTTGCAAGATATGAGACTTGCTGAGCGGGAAAAGCTTGAGATGGATTTTAAGCAAAGAATGGATGCTTTAGTTGCTGAAATTGAACGGACAGCTCCAAATTTGAAAGCACTAGATCAATATGAAGCTTTGCAAATAAAAGAAAAGGAAGTAACTGAAAAATTTGAAACTGTTAGGAAGGAAGAGAAAGAAGCATCTGATAAATATAATGCTGTAAGGCAAAGAAGGTATTTCTAGTAGTGTGATCACTAGGCGCTTGCATTTATTCTTGTGACATACTTTTTGATGGGTGGATAGTGCTGGTCGCTTTCATTAAAATCTCGTTTTTAAATGGGCCTTCTATGAAGTTTATGATATAAACTTTTCAATCCTTCGCATTCTACTGTCCCTTGGTTTTTCTGCCTTGCCAAGTAGAAGTAAATTTCATAATCTTAAAGACACTAATGTGGCATCAAAATGTATTTTCAATGGCTTTATAGTTATAATAAATTTTATTTGTGTGCTGTGCATCTAATGTTGGCTGATTGGGCCTTGCACTATAACCATTTATATGAGCATATTCTTATGTTGTGACGATGAAATCTGAAAAATGAAATGCTTTACTAGACTAATTAAAATCAAACTTCATTGCTTCTTTGTACTTTTATTTAAAAAATAAAAGTGTTACTTGAATCTTAATTTTGTAGGTTTATAATTGTGCTTTTGAGGTCATACCAATCACACTTTGCAGGTATGAGCTGTTTATGGAGGCTTTTGAGCACATTTCTACAAACATTGACAGAATTTACAAGCAGCTTACGAAGAGTCATACGCACCCACTTGGTGGAACTGCTTACCTAAATCTAGAAAACGAGGACGAACCTTTCTTGCATGGAATAAAATACACCGCCATGCCACCAACTAAGCGCTTCAGGGATATGGACCAGTTATCAGGTGGGGAAAAGACTGTTGCTGCGCTTGCCTTGCTTTTCGCTATACACAGGTACCTTTTGCAAGACACACGTTGGATTTGCATTTTCCTTGATCATGTCTTATAAAAAGTCTAGCTAGAAATCATTGAAACGTCATACATTCCTTAAGGTCGATCTAAATTATGTGTCATTCTTCCTTAAGGCACATATTAGGATAGTTTTCACTAGGCCTGGGATTGTAAAAGCCTCATTTTATCTTCCTAAAAACCACTAAATTCTGCTTTGTTTATGTCATAATTTCAGTTACAAGCCATCTCCATTCTTCATTCTTGATGAAGTAGATGCAGCATTGGACAATCTAAATGTTGCGAAGGTTGCTGGGTTCATCAGATCGAAATCATGCAGTGGGGCTAGGATCGAACAAGACGGCGAAGCTGGGTGCGGCTTTCAGAGCATTGTTATCTCTTTGAAGGACACCTTCTATGATAAAGCTGAAGCATTGATTGGAGTTTACAGAGACTCTGAGAAAAGGTTTGCTTCTCTTCTTTACGTCTTATTCATTATATTGCTACGGTTATTAAATCTATTTGCGCTAACTCATGGACCTGTGATGTTTTGCAGCTGTTCACAAACTCTAACATTTGATTTGACCAAGTATAGGGAAGCCTGAACTTGAAGCAGTGAAATGGAGATAGCATGATAATGAATGGTGTTAATATTATTGATAGATCCTTTAAAGCTTCTGAAAGCGGTATGTATAATGCAGTTGATTCTTGTTTGTAAATTCACTGTTAAGCTCATTTGTATAGTTCTATGATTTCGACTTGGGACGTATTTAATCCAACCTATTTCAATGCCTTAGCTTGTGACCCTGATTCTTTCAAATTCCAAATTGATATATCTGCTCTATTGAAAGTTATGTCTGGGCTTCTTTGGTTCTCTCTAGATAAAAAACATGTTTTTATTGATAGAAGTTCGATTATTGAAATTTTGAGTTGGTTGTGATGTATATTTTGTATTATATGGTATCAACAATAAGGCTGAATAGTACCCAAACTAATGAAATGGACATTTGCACTTCTAAGAATATAGCATTATTGCTCGTAAGTAATACAATCAAATGACGATCTATCTATTCAAAATCCAAACAAAACTTGTCGAAGAGAATTAATAAATGCTTTAAAAAATTCATGCTTCAACATCTGAGAACATTAATTTTTACCTAATGGGATGGCGACCGATCGAAGTATAACAAGGAATGGTGGGCTTGAACTTATATCTATAGAAGATGGATTTCTTGTCGGAAGTCTTGTTTTCTATGGTGAAGACCAGCTTACCTGGTTCGTGAATGTAGAATGAGTTCCTCGCGGGTTTCCTGAGCTTCTTCTCCACTTTTATGAGTATTTTATACGAGCCTTCGTCTTCTGGAATGAACTCCTCTCTGTACACCACCTCCCATCCTACAACCACCATATCCCAAACTGCTGTCACCCCTCCCTGTTTTTCATTTACATGCAAAGCATATAACCAAATTAATATTTCCATGTTATGTAATTATCTTGATTAATCTACATGCTAAAAATGTGTACTAAGTTGGTGGCACTAATCGTTATAATATCAAACAGTTTTATCTATTTAAGAAATAAGGATAGGCTTTTGCGCATGCATAGTACCCAATTTTTATGAATTTGCATCTAAACTTTCTTATTTTTATATTTTTGCCCTCCAAATCTTTTGACATAAAAAAATATCACTATTTTAAATTTTAAAAAGTGGAATATATTTCTTCATTCATATGTATGGTGGCATATATATGTAAAGCTTAAGTGTTAGATTTGTAAATACATGGGAATTGAGTGGTTCGTATGCAAATCTTCCGAAAAAAATGACAAGCTAAAAATATAAGATTTAAATTCATAAAATACATGCAACGTTTTTTGGGTTTAAAAAGTTTTTATTTCTCGTACAGAAATTGGTGGGCTTTTGGATTATAATATACTGATCTGCATGCTGACTAAATCTTATATATATATATATATATATATATAATTTCATTCTTAAAAGGGAAGATTTACACTCATGGCACTCAATTCCTATGTATTTACATATCTAGCAGCCAAACTTTAGTTTTTACATATATGCCGATTTATTTATACATGAAAAGATGTATTTAACCTTTTAAAAATTAAAATAGTGAAATTTTGTATTTGGGTGCTATAAATAGAAGAAGTTTAAATGCATAGGAATTAACAAGGTTGTATGCATATAAATGCCCCTAAAGAAAAAGAAAAAGACTAAAAAATGATTAGCGACTAACAAACAATAATGATAATGATAATAATAACTTACATAAAAAATCGGAATTTCGATTAGAGTAATGCTTCCTCCCTTCACAAAGGTCTCTGAAACTGTTTCATCCTCAGCTAAGAACTCAGCGTCGTTTTGTCTCTTAAAACCACCATACTGAATTGGTATATTCTGTGGATCAATATACCTCAACAGAGTTTCAGTTACTTTGGAAGGTCGAGCGAACGCAAACTTGCTTTCAGTTCTGTGGCTCAGCAATGGCGACAATAATGCTCTGTAGGTGTAGCATCGAAGTGAAGCATTCAGAAATATCTGACCACATTAAAACAAAATCATCATACGCAACTGCTATGCCCTTCACACCTTCCAAATATTACTTTCTGAATATTTTTTCTATTTTTTATTCATGAAAATAATCTCTATATAAAAATTAATATTATGTGTTGAGAAAATTAGGGCGAAGAAAAACAAGAACGACACAAATACAGAAGAACACAGGGATTTAACGAGGTTCGGCATATATTAAGAGCAACATTAATGCGGCTAAATGTAACAAATCCAACACATAAAACTCTTACATTTTTAAAGATGAACTCAGGATAGTTATCCTGAAAGATCCTGATCATCTTCTCCACGGTGCCTCTCAGCTCCTTCACAGAGGACCCCAACAAATCCCTAAGATCTATAACCTGCACCATGGCTGAAACCTCTCCAAGCTTGAAGCTCACAAACTCCTGAATTCCTCTCTCCATGAACTGAACCCTCCACCTCAAAAACCTCTCCTGCTTCTCCCTGCTCCCAAACACCTTCTCATACATCCCATCCTCCCTCAATGATCCATACACATTGTAGCAAACAGGATGGCCCTCCCTGTCAAATCCATCCATATATGCAGTCCCCACATAATATTCTGAATCCAAATCTTCTTTCAGAATTCCATCAATCCCATACTCCTTTCTCCACCTCAACGTTCTCTGAATCATTTCGAATGTTTCACAGAGCCTGAATTCTCTTGCTCGAAGGAATTTAAGAAGAATGGTGTCAAGGCAATCATTTGATGCAGAAGGAAGTAGGGGAATGCCCCAAAGAGAGATTTTGCTGGTTTGTGATGTGGAAGTGGGTTTGTTGGAGGAGGAACAGGAAGCAATGCGAGGTTTGGAAATGGGGCTTCTTTTCTGAGGTTGGGAGATGGGATGGAGAAAGAAAAGGTGGTTGCTTTTAATGGATTCTTCGAGCTTGAGCTTGAGATCATGGAGGGTCTTCTTCTCTGAGGGCTTGAGTTCTTCCATGATTATGGTTGGGAGGAGGGAAGAAGAAGATAGGAAGAAAGTCAGTTTTTTTTTCCTGTTCTTGGAGGGAGGGGGAGAGAGAGCCGTTGATGGAAGAATATGGTTAAAGAGGGGCGATGGTGATTGGTGGAGAAGGTTGGAGAATGGCTTTGGAGTTTTGGTTGTTACAGTGTTCAAACCTCGCAGGTTTTTACTATTTTGGAAGGATGAAGAACAAAGGATGCAGGAATTGTGGAGGTTGTTGCCAAATTTGAGCAATTGGCAACCTTCTGTTTGAATTTCTTGTCTTTTTTAATACGGTGCTGAAGAAATAGTCAATTTCATTTTCATTTATTTATTTATTTATTTTTTGAAGATTTGCATACATATCTAGCATTCTTATGTATTTATATCTAGCAATTCTTATGTATTTATATCTAGCAATTCTTATGTATTTATATACCTAAGGTCTAAACTTCAATATATATATATAACTAGTGGCTTTTTTATTTGACAGTTTTGGCGTAAGTCCCCTCTGTTATTAAATATATTTGGATCGAATTAGCACATATGAGATGGACAGACACATATTGTCGCCCAACTTTTTAAATATATATATCATATTAAAATGTATATTGCACATTTTTAAAAGTTAATACATTCTAGCAAATATATTATATAATTTAACTTTTTAATGATATAAATCCATACAAAAAAATAGTTAAGATAAAATGAGAAAGACGAGCATTTTAGTAGCATAAAAACCATGGTCTCTAAAACACATGCAAAATAACAGTTATTTTAATCAACTCAAAACATTTTGGTGGTAATGACAATGACAAATCAACCTACATTATAAAAATAATTAAAAAGCTTAATTTATTTTGTTCGCACTTTATATATATATATATATATAAAAAGAGAAATCTGCACTTCAGGATAGTGATGTAAGATAAATCAAAACATATTGATTTTCAACTTTTTAGCATTTGTATGAATGAAAATGTATATTATAAAATTTAAAACTGGTGCATTTTAAATTTGTTAGATTTAAATGATCTCCAAATATACTATAAACTGAAGCTCACAACTTCACACAATCACAAAAACCTGCCGCCCACCACCCGCCACCATCAACTACCTATGTTGATTTTATTTTTTCAAACCAAACAGAAAACTACAAAATTCAAGATATACCTCATTTTCAGAACTATTGTAGTCGGGGGAAGTAATATCATAGTTCAAGACCTCAAAAGGGGAAAAAATGTAACGTCTGATGTTGATCACACCATGCCGTCAAAAACATGGCATGATGCAATCGATACCTTCATTCGAATCGTCAGTTATGTTCGAACGACAGATGTAATATTTTCTCCTATATCGGAATAGATGAAAGGCTAAATTAGGCACCAAAGTTCAAAATAATACAAGAGGCGCACGCGGTCTTTTGCCTTAACGAGGGTTGTAACGCTTAAAATTTGTAGAATTTAGGCGAGAGATTGAAAGAAGTAACTAATCTTGCCTAATTACGGCTTCAAGCAAGCGTTGAACAAGTATGAAAGGATCATAAATCATTTATAACTAACTAAAAATATTTAAAACTACACTTTCATAAATAAATAAAAAAACCATAAATAATTCATTCAATTCTTCTGAGAAATCTTACAAAGCTATCATCAACGCATTAATAATTTCACTGCAAAAGCATAGCACATAATTCATATGTATTTACATTATCTCCCACCTAAACTTTCATATTTGCACATACAACACTCATCCATTATTACATTTGAAAACAATATAGTACTATTATCACTTTTAAAATTTGAAACACACCTTTTCATTCACAGGTTGAAAACAATATGAAAGGTTTAAAGTGTGAGATATGTAAATTTCCCTTTTGATTATGCAAGTATAGTTATGATAAGGCCTACATCACAGCTTTCATTTGCATACAAAGGTTCATATTATACATTATTTCAAACATCTGCAGTACACTGTACACTACTAAAAGGAAAATTTGGAAAAAAAAAAACAAAAAATGGTCTCTAGTAAACATAAAATACCTCATATAGACAAGTGAAAATGATCATTAAAGCAACCAAAATAGAAGCCCTATTCTTTCTTTTCAGCCTTTCTGCTCTCATCAACAACCTCATTGTCCTTTACATCAACAATCTTTCTCTCTTCTTCCTTCTCACCAGAAGCAGTACCTTTCTGTTGTTCTGAAGAATCCGAAACGCCGTGAAACTGCTCGATAGGTGGAGTATGAGTTAGCTCAAACTTGGCGTAATTTGCAAGGACTTGCTCGAGCTCATCATGCAGATTCAAAGCTTCAAATAGCATTGCTTCATCATCAGTAGTTGTTTCTATAATTCTCTGCAGATCAGGCTGCGATTCCTTGCACTTTTCTACCATGCTTATTAACAGCTCATCCTGCATCGAAGGTCAAAATCAGAGTAATTCCTATGCATTTACATATCTAACATCTAAACTTCAATTTTTACAAACATGCCACCTTACCTATGTATAGAAGAAGTGTATTTTAATTTTTGATGGATAAAATGGTGGTATTTTTTATATAATATTAAAGATTTGGGCGGTGTAAATGTAAAAAGTGAAGTCTATATGTTGGTTATGTAAATATATAAGAATTGGGTGGTATGTGTATAAATGCCCCGAGAGTATGTGATAGCAATCTGATTCCACCTGTCAAGATCTTAAGAGCGGGAGATATTTTATAAATTTTAGAGAATGGAAATGAATTTTTGGAATTAGGCAAAAAAGCTTGCTAGAAGCGAAGGATGCATGACTCGCAAAGGAATGGTACAAAAATGAGCTCATTAGCCAAGCAAGTTTATAAAGAAAAGTATCGTTAACCAAGAAAAAATGCAAGAACAAAGAAGATTTAATTATGGTTCGCACATGGCATAAATATTATTGATCATAAAATCAATAATAGCAGCTTTGTCAAAAGAAAGTAGCTGCAGGAGTGCTTCACAAGTATTCTTTTCATGGGCTGCATTGGGTTTTAATTCTTCTTAAATCCTGTTAAACAACTTCAAACCATGTTTAAATTTTAAAAAATTCATTAATTTATTGTGATAATAACCTAATAGGATGAAATAAATAGAGCAATGGAAATTAATAGTGAACCAAGTCATTATTTCTGTAATAACCAATTTTTGAGAAATTTAATAAAAAAATTTTGACGAATGAAAATATATCCTAAATTTTGGATCCTTCAGATTTCAATCGAAATAATTTTATAAAATTCAACGCCTCCAATTGAGCAATTAAATACATAATACTATGTATAAATCATGAATAGAATTAGGGATAAAAAATTGAAATTGTAAGTTTAATTAACCTAATTAAATCACTAATCCCACATTGTTATTGTTAGTTACTTCCGACTTACCGAACAATAGGAAGATCCTCTTCAAAGCCTTTGATTCCTCTCCTTGGCTCTCGGTTGCATTGCATGAAACCCCTCCCACTTCCTATTTCCTCTCCCAATCTTACTCTCATTCTTGATTTCAGTTCCCGATCACGGCACAATGCAATCCCGCACTGTAGCTAAGTCGCGTAGAGGAGTCGAGCGGCCCGCACAGAGCCGCAGACGACATTTTACGACTCTGATGTAAAATCAGTGAGTATGAAACCTATTCATGTTATTTGAGAATTTCATTTCATTCTCTTGCTTCCATTTTAAAATATGTGACGAATTGTGCATCTTTCTCGTTTCTGGTAGCTGTCAGAGGTGCCAAACTTGCGTCGGAAGTGTTGAATGTGGTTTGCGAGCTTCCATGAGAATTTTAGCACAGCATCAACGAAGGAGAAAAGAGATTTGAGGTGTTAGAAAGAAAAGGGAAGAAGTTTTAGCAACTCGAAGAATTGTTTGGGGGCCGAGAAGTCGTTTAAGGTTGTTTACCTGAGAACGACAAGCATGAGAAAACTACTCGTAGGACAGCTCCATAAAATTCTGGTTATTAAGCTCAACAAAAAAGTCACCGAAACACCCAATTAGTTATGAAGATTTAGAATTTAACGTGACAACCGAGATGAATAATTACATTTCTAAATCTTAGTTATCTTTTTATTTCAAAATGTATGTTGATTTATATGTATTGGATTTATAGTGCAATAGATTCTTCCTATCATTAGACAGAAAGATTGTTTATGACAGAAAAGATATAAAAATGTATGCAAGTGATGCATTTTATGTAAGATAGATATGATAGGAAAAGATGCATGATATAAGAGATGCATGAGATAAGAGATGCATAATAGGAGAGATATACATGATGAATAGTTGCATAATAAAGTAGATATGCATGGTATTAGATACATGAATCTCAGTGATGTATGCTATGAAGAATAAAATAATTTATATATAAATACTTTTATGTGCATGTTCAAAGGAGGATTTCACCCCCTAATGGAATAGACAAGGGACACCAGTATATCGGTAAGCATAAAGTTTTTCTACCACCTCTGACAATTGTGATAGTTAGGTCACTAACTACTGTACCGACGGAATATTATTGACCAGATTAGTGAGAGTCATCTTAAATGGTTTGATCACATTAAACGTTGACATCTAATGATCCGATTAGGAGAATAGATGTTTTAGATTCGATTTATGTTAAGAAAGACAGAGGTAGACCCAGAAACACTTGGGCATATTATATAACAAATGATCTTAATTTATTAGAATTAAATGAAAATATGACACCCAATAGGACACAATGGAGAAAAAAAATTCATATAGCTGACCCCACTTAGTAGGATAAAGGTTTGTTATTGTTGTTGTTTCTTTTGAAGTGAAATTATTTTTAAATTCACGAAATTTTTTTTAATTCATCTGGCACTTTCTCATATGCTCCAATATTTATGTGTGCAAATCAAGTGATCTTAAAGACTTTTAACATTATTAGTAATTCGCTTGTCACAAAATTTATATTTTAAGTTCTTTACACCTCTCCTGACCCTTCACATTGAGTCTCATATTTCTAAACAAGATCTTTTTTTTTATCACGCCACAACATTCTAATTAAAAATATAAATGCATTAAATTGATAAATTTTGATATTTGAGTGAGATTTTTAAAAATGAATGAAATAAGGTGCTTGTTTTGTAAATAAAAATGTTTTGAATGCTACATATGTAAATGCCTAAAAATATTACAATCGAACACTTTAGACGAATGTTGCATCACAGTAATGAGAAATATAAGAGACTTCGGCTTACAAGAAGATATCGAAGAGTTGAAACACTTTCAAGAAGAGTAGAAGAGGAAGCCACTAGAGTCTACTGCTGGACTTTGCCGCTCCACTTCTAAACAGAAGGGCTTGGGACGATTCTTCGACGCTGTACTTTGATGCTCACACTCAAAATGACGCTCGAAGGCTCGGGATCAATTGGACTTTGAAGCTTAGGCTCAATATGACGCTCGAAGAAAGTGGAAGTTACAAAGCTCTCAGAATAACACTCCAACCCTAATCCTAATTTGTGTGACATGGTTATTGTGTGAAGGTGTAGAGGTATTAGTACCTAATTTAAATTAAGTAATTTGAGGCAGTGCCTCAAGAGATTCAAAGCATTACGACTAGAAGTGTACGCCTAACTGCAAAAAGTGTAAGATGCACCTGCACGGACGAGGCTTACGGTTTGAGTCGCTGCTTAAGCATCTCGAATTGAGGCACACCTTAAGACGGACGTCTCAAGCGCTTTTTTATACTTTGGTTGGGAGAGATGTGAATTGAATCATAGAAACAAATTGAAGAGATCCGAAGAAAAACTTTGAATAGAAAAGCACAAAATAAGAGAACCACAAAAAACACAATATTTAATATAAAAAAAGAACTCGAGAACGAGAAAAAATCACAGTCACACCACACCAAGAAATCCACCATGAAGAAAATGAAAATAATTGTACGAATTACACCACACTCAAGCCTCTCCACACTTTGGAACATTTCAGAATGCTAATCTCCTCTACTATCTTTTGCACAAAGAGAAATCAAAATCTCATACACTCCAACCGGCAAAATCAAAACTTTAAGTAGAGAAGTGCTCAAATTTGGTTGTTTGCGTCGGGTTACCGTGATAATAGTGTTGCGATGCTCGGAAGTCAGCGCCCTCAAACTCAATATGGGGGGACATCCTCCAAACTCCCTCAGCAACATCACCGTCAAGCTTAGGGCTGTCAAAAAAGTTCGCTGTTCAAGAACAGTTCGTGTTCGGTTCGTCAATGAGTTCGTGTTCGATTCGTTCGATAAGTAAACGAGACAAACGCGAACAAATTTTTTTCGTTCGGTTAGTTAAACGAACCAAACACGAACAGTGATGCGTTCATTCGTGTTCAAATCATTATTGTTCGAAATATAAAATAATTTAAAATAATTATATATAAAAAATTTATGATATTTTAAAAAATTAAATTTTATAAATTATAATATATAATAAATTAATAATAATAATATAATAATATATTATATTAGTAATATACTAATATAGATATTATTTTTTTATATAATATAAGTTATATGATTAATATAATATATTATTTATATATATTAATATTAGAGATGTCAAACTGGCTCGTCGTTCGCGAACAGCTCGTGTTCGGCTCGTTCGTTAAGAAACAAACACGAACAATTTCAAACACGAGCTATTTGAAACAAACTAAATTTCAAACAATCCGAACACACAAGCACTGTTCGTTCGTGTTCGGTTCGTTTACACCCCTAGTCAAGGTTGAATGGTGAAATTGAGGGCTCTGAGTGAACAATTGATTAACAAAATCAATCTCCATATAATAATAACAATCATCTACTTGGAGACTGATCGCAATTAATCATGCTCCCCCAAATCTGTAGCATCTTCCTAATTATGAACTGTAATGTAGTTCATTCCAGTCTCAAATTTTCTGAACTCCAACTGAAGCTAAGTATATGTTCAGTTTCTCAACTGTCAATTTTAATCAATGTCTGCAGGATTCCAAGTTATGTATATTTTCTTCAAAGATAATTGAACATCTTTCAAGAGTGAACAATAAAATGATATCTAAATTGAATGTGCTTTATTCCGTCATTAAATACAATATTCTTGCTAGATAAATGACACTCCTATTATCACTATGTAGTTTTCCACTTTATTTCCACTTGTCAAGTTCTACCATAAAACTCTGCAATCAAATCATTTCTCTACTTAGAAATCTAACTCCCTATTGTGCTCCTCAAAGTGAAGATATAAAATGTACTTTTTTACCATCAATATTACTTACAAGATTTGGATTTACATATCCTCGTAGAATAATCTCTGTCCTTCCAAAACAAAGTGTTTTGTTGATTGGTCCTCTCAAATATCAGAGACTCCACTTCACTATCTCTCAATGATTTTTTCCAAAATTACTCATGCACTGGCTGACC